CTGAAGCCACTTCCGCATGAGTTCGATTCCCGCCTACCCCCCCTGCTGCTCTCCCAGGTGCCTTCCCCACAACTACCCCCCTCCCTGCTGTCGCTCTTCTGTGTTCTAGGGTGTCCTTCTGCCTCCCCCCGTTTCCCTCCTTCCACCTGCCCATTGCCTGCCAGGAGTCATCCTCTGAGGGATCCCACCTCCCCCATTTCTGTAAGCCCAACTTTCCTAGGTGCTTTCTGCCTTGGGGTTCTGTCACCTTGGGGAGCTCCGGAGCCCCTCATCTTTGCCTTGGCCACAGCACAGCCGCGGGGCACAAGCCTCCCTGGCCTCAGCCCAGCTCCTGCCTCAGGCCCATGCACCTGGGCCCTCCCTGGGCCTTCCCGTCCCTCTGTCCCCACTGAGACCCTGGGCTCTAGTCAGCGCCTGCTCGAGTTCCGGCCAGCCCAGTCTTTCTGTCTCTGACCCCCTGGCACTCAGCACTTGCCCCGCTGCCTCTCTCCCTTCCAGCCTCACGGCCTCCCAGACCTGAGACTGCCAGTGTTGCAGCTCCCCTTGGGCTTCACCCAGTGGGCTCCGGCTCCACCCCAGATCACACCCTGTGGCCGCCGTCCCTTCCCAGGGCCTGCTCCCCCCAGCCTGAGGGACTCTGCCCTCCTCTGGAGGGGCCCTCATGGCCTCTTGAGTCACCCCCATGTGAGCCCCCCTATGTCCCCTGGAGCATTGAAGTTCTCAGCAGCCCCCACAGCCCTCTGGAGCACTGGCTGACTGCGAGCCCCTGCACCCCGCATCTGCATGTCCCCCGGACTCAGCAGTTCATTGACCTCCACAGGTCTCCCCAAGCCCCTTACCGCTGGGGCCCAGGCCACACGTAGACTCCTGGAGTCCTGCTACCCCACATCTATGTGGCTATACCCCAGGTTTCCCCTCCCCAAGACCCAGCCTCCTGGCCCCCCACCCCCGACCTTGGGGACCCCAGGTGGCCTGGCACATGTTGCCCTCCCGCCTCATAGCACAGTGCTGGATCGGGGACCGCTGTCCCAAACCCTCATGTCCCCTTCCCCCTCTGACCAGCTCCCATCCTCTTAGGGACTGGTCCACTCTCCTGGGCCCATTCACCTGTCCCCCTCCATCTTTTCCTCCACCCTGACAGCCTCTGCTTCCTTCCTACTTTCAGATTGATTGGCTTACATGGTTGGTAACTTTTGTACAGTATTTGATTCCCCTCTCCAGGGTGGTCCCGGGTCCCACTGCCCAGTCCCTGTTCCCTCGCTGCCCCGTCCTGACCCCTCCCTGTGCTCCCTGGTCTGCTCCTTCTACCCTTGTCTGGCTTCCTGCACTGCGTGTCCTCACTCCTGTCCTGTCTGCACCAGCCAGTCCACCAGGACCAGTGAGGCCCCCCTCCACCTGTCAGGTCTCCCCTGAATCCTTTTGCTCTCATTGGGGTTAGGGGAGAAAACATTTCCCACCTTCCTGCCCTTAGCCTAGACCACTGTAACTAGAAAGGTGAATAAGGAAAAGAGCGGGAGGGTCAAATCCAAACAGGCCAGGGCTTCTCATCCTCACCTGCACCTGGGCCTTGACCAGGGAGCTGGAAGAGGGGAGGGGGAGGAGGAGGAGACCACCATGGCCTGGGCTTTGGCAGCCCAGAGAGTTTGGGCCTGATGTGGCCTCCCAGAGCCCAGGAGGCAGAGACCTGAAACAGCCCTGCAACTGTGGAGACTTTGCCTGTGACTGGGTGCAGTTGAGTGGGGTGTCCAGGGAGGAAAGGGAAGGGTGAAGAAGCAGGAGAGGCCTCCTTGGGGTGGGGGGAGCTGGGTGGGTCCTTGCTCTGGAGGGAGCAGTGTGGTGATCTGGGCCTGCTGTGGTCAAGGCCAACTGTCAGCTGCTCAGAACCAGTGCCTGGGACAATCTGGACTCTAAACCTTAGGCTTTTGTGGCTTTGGTCTTTCAGTTTCTCCTCCCCTCGCCCCATAGACATCTGGACCCATTTTTTGTTCTCCTTTTGAGGAAATCAGCTGAGCAAGAAGGTGGGAGCAGCATAAAAGAGGGGGTGTGCCATGTGGGACAGGTATAGTTGCCTCCATCCTGGGGTTGGGGTGCTAGTGGCTGCCTCTGCCTCCTCGGTTAGTCCCAGCTCACCCAGGTGCTGGCTTAGAGCGCCCCACACCGGGCTCTGCAGGCTGTGGCCTCAGAATGGGGCTCTGCAGGATTCTGCTTCTGGGGGATCATGCCCCCTCCTAGCCCAGGACACTGGCCAGTGGGCTTCACTGGGCCTGGTGGTGGGAGCCTGGGCTTTCCAGGGTCTGGGTGTCTTGGGGAGCCTGTCAGGAGGAGTCTGGTCTTCAGGATTCTTTTTTTTAAGATTTTTTTTTTATTTATGCATCTAAGAACTGGGGTGTAGGCCAGAGGTGCTGGGGTGAGAGGATTCACCAGAGACAGAGTGGGGGGCAGAACAAGTGTTACAGTCCAAGTAATGCTGAGACACAGAACCGTTGCAAAAGACAAGCACAAGCCTTTATTGCTAGCCCGGGCTCGGGTCCGGTCCCCGGAGTGTGCCGACGCAGCGGTCTCGCCCAGACAGGATGGACTCCCAGTCTCTGCACAGAGGGTCTTATATAGTGAAATTTGCGGGCTGGGAAATCTCCAAAGTATGCAGTCCATTAGGATGAGTCACTCTCGGATTCTCCTTCATGCAGGTGGTAATTGCAAGCAATGTCCTGCTGGTGCCTGGGCCTCTGATAACATCCAGGGCCTCTGAAAACATCCAGTTAGTTTTCAAGCAATGTCCTGCTGGTGCCTGGGCCTCTCATAACATCCAGGGCCTTCGACAACATCCTGTTAGTTTTAACCATAAACAACATTTCAATATTTTATACAGGCACAACTACTGAAATATACTCTGAGGGGAGCTTCTGACATACAGGACAGGTCAGCTGTGCCCTGTGGGTCAGCTCCCAGCTGGGGAGAGTCAGGCCTCAGTGGCTGCAGTGGCTTCAGCCTGAGTCTTTAACCCCTCAGCCACCAGGGAGGCCCCTAAACACCTGCTGCTAGATGCAAAGCGCTCCCCATCTGGGTGCTGCACAAACAGGGTTTCAGAAATTTGACTGGGTGGGGGTGGAGGGGAGGAATCAAAGTGTCAGAGGGATTCAGGAGAAGGGGACATATCATGGTTGATGTTGAGAATGGAGGGCCAATTTCTGGAAGTTTCTTCTGGCTGGACATTGATAACATCCCAGTTCTCCTTCTATTTGCTGCACATTTCTAGAGCAGGCACCAGTAAGGTTCAATGATTCTGGTTTCCAAATTTTCACAGAAGAGCTTTCCCAGTGATGGGGCCCGGAAGCTTCCTCCTGTCGTTTTGGGGGTGGGTGGGGGGTCCTTCTCCTGAGAGTGCCCTCAGGTGAGTGAGTGTGGAATTGGGAGAAAACCGGTCTCTATGGGGTCAGGGCTACAGGACTGCCTGGGTGCCTGGGCACTTCCCCCTGGACTGGGGTCAAAGCCCTTGCCCTCAACTGCTGCCCTGCCCTCCCCACCCCACCCACTCTCCTCTTCCAACCTTATGAAGTTCCCCATCTTTTCTCCCCACCCCTTTTACAACTCGTGGGACCACTCAGTACCAATAGGGTCCCGCTGTGCCTCACCCCTCCCACCCCCAGAACGCACTCCCTGAGGTACCTCTACACTGCAGTGTCCAGTTCCGGTCTCGGGGAGCCCCGCTTCATCGCCGTGGGCTACTTGGACGACACGCAGTTCGTGCGGTTCGACAGTGACAGGACGAGTCCACGAGAGGAACCACGGGCGCCCTGGGCAGAGCAGTTGGGGCCGGAGTACGGGGACAGGAACACCAGGACCTACAGAGCCACTGCACGGGCTTTCCGAGTGGGTCTGGACAACCTGCGAGGCTACTACAACCAGAGCGAGGCAGGTGAGCTCACGGCTGGCCGGGGCCAACTCTCCAGTCCCCAAGGGTACCCCGAGTTTCCGGTCTCAGCCGCTCCCCATGGTCCCCAACAGGCTCCAGCAGTGGCAGCCAAAATGGAATTGGCCCGGATTTCCATTAAAGTTAGGGATGTGTTACTGGCTTTGGCCTATAATTGCTCACGTGGGGAAGGGCTGCCGCGGGGCGGGGCTGCCGCGGGGCGGGGCTCACGCGGGGCGGGGACAGGGTCTCACACCTTCCATTGGATGTCTGGCTGCGACATGGGGCCCGACGGGCGCCTCCTCCGCGGGTACAGTCAGTTTGCCTATGATGGCGCCGATTACATAGCCCTGAACCTGAGCTCCTGGACCGCGGGGAACATGGCAGCTCAGATGACCAGGCGCAAGTGGGAGGCGGCAGGAGCTACAGAGCGCTTCAGGAACTACCTGGTGGGGGAGTGCGTGGTGGGGCTGCGCAGATACCTGGAGATCGGGAAGGAGACCCTGCAGCGCTCAGGTTTGAGGGCAGACAGGGTGGTGTTCACATTGGGTCCTGCACACTAACTTGTCCAGGAGCCCATCTTTCTCTCTGGACACTGAAGAGATCCAGTCTCTGGGGATGGAGAGGGGGGACCCGTCCCTGAAATAGCTGATCCTGGTTCCCTGGTCCCTGGAGGCAGCTCTGGGAGCCCCAGGGACCTGCCCCAGGACATGGAGCTGGTGGACACCAGGCCTGGGGGGGATGGAGCCTTCCAGAAGTGGGCAGCTGTGGTGGTGTCTTCTGGAGAGGAGCAGAGATACACGTGCCATGTGAAGCATGAGGGGCTGCCAGAGCCCCGAGTCCTGAGATGGGGTGAGGAGGGGAGGTGGGCACAGTTCTCCCCGGGTTCGGGGCCCTTCTGAACCCCTTATAGGGTCAGGTGAGGCCTGGGGCTCAGGGTCTCCCCTCCCCTTCCCTTCCAGAGCCCCCTCCTCAGCTCTCCATCCCCACCGGGGGCCTCATTGCTGGCCTGGTTCTCCTTGGAGCTGTGCTCGCTGGGGCTGCGGTGGCTGCAGCTGTGATGTGGAGGAAGAAGCGCTCAGGTAGGGAAGGGAGCGGCAGATGAGTTTCCCTGTCCTCCTGTGGGTTTAATGCCCAGATAGTGGTTTGTCTTGCCTGGTCAGTGGGAAGTCCTGTCCACACACCTGTGCCTGTCCACACACCTGTGCTTTCCCGGCCTGGGGCCCTGTTTGCTAACACTTACTCCTCATTAAAGCAAAAGTGACAATGGAGGACAGGTTTATCCCTTGGTGGATCTGGTGATGACCTGCTTCCCAGCAGGCACAGGCAGAGGGTCCCGCTGAGGACAGATCCAGGAGGGGGTTGGCCCAGTGCCCCTCCATGGACTTTCCCCCTCATGCTTTCTGACCTTGCCTGGGTCTGTAGTGACAGTTCTGGAAGCTTCCTGTTGTCTGGGACCAGGCAGCTCCTTTAGGATCCTGTGACTCAGTCTTGGCCCTGACTCTCCAAGGTGGCTTCTCCCCAAAGGCGGAATAGGAGGACGCTGTGCTGGGGCTGTGAGTGATTATGGACAGGAGAAGCTCACCCCTAGGCCTTGGGAAGAGCAGATGGGAACCCATGGGGGGTCAGGTACCCAGTTCCCCCCTTCCTCTTTCCTGGCTCTGACCAGTGTCTGTGTTGTCTCCCCCAGGCTGCGACAGTCCCCAGGCTCTGAGATGTCATCAGCCCCTAAAGGTGAGACACTGGAGTCTGTGGGGAGGGTTTGGGCAGCTATGATGGTGCTTGGTTGTGGGGTGCTTTGGGACATTTTGAGCATGTGAGGGGCTGTTCAGAGTGTCATCATTTATGTGACTAACTTGATTTTGTTTACAATGATTTTATTTATTTATTTTTTTAAGATATTTTTATTTATTCATACAGAACTGGGGTACAGGTCAGAGATGCGGCGGGTGAGAGGATTCACCAGAGACAGAGTGGGGAGCAGAACAGGCAGATCCATGAAGTACACTGCTGAGGGGGAGCAGTGGGTGTCAGGAGAGATCTGCCACGCCATGTGGTCACCTCCGGGGCAGGCGGGAATCGAACTCATGAGGAAGTGGCTTTAGCTTCTCAGTGCTGTGCTTTAACCCGCTGCGCCACCAGGGAGGGCCTACGATGATTTTCTTTTACAATTTGCGGCAGCTACCTTGCATGAGGGGACATTTATTATGTACCACTCTATGGTTTCCATGATCACGTGAGTTCACTTTGTGCAAAAAACCTCCCGTATGTCTGTGGCCATGACCTTCTGTTCATCCTGAGGTCCCTCAAGCCACCTCCAGAGTGGTGTCCTGTGGGTCACTCCTGGCCGGCACCCATGGCATTCCTGGATTTCTGTGAGTCATACAGGAAGGAGATGAGCTGATCCACTGACCTCGTGGGAAAAGGGCACTGGCCACTGTCAGGGCAGCTGTGGCCTCTGACTGACCTCACTTGGGGAAATACCCCAGCCTCTAAGGGCTCAGTAGAGGATCATTTTATGTGCATTGCAAAATACTAAGTGCAACAGGAGAGTTCCAATGGGAGGTGGGGGGTGGTGATGCTGGATAGGTCAGGGCTATAGAGGAGACCCAACCTCAGGCTGAGGGGTCACAGGAGCCCCTAATCTGCATCAAGAAGGAAATCCCCTGAGGCTGTGAGCCAGTGCCTGGCCATGTCCCCTAGGATGGGGGAAGCATGGGCAGCCTCAGCCAGACCACAGCCTCAGGGTGGAGCTGAGATCTCAGGGTGAGTCGGCCTGGGAGGGGTGGGAAGGTCAAGTGCATTCTGAGAGCCTGAGGGCTGGGAGGGCCGGGGCAGGGGCTGCCTGTGTGAGCAGGGGGTGCACAGGGCCATCGGGCTCAGAGCATGTCACCTGAGAGTCGGGTGATCATGCAGTGAGGAGCTGCTGTTCGGGGCAGAGGGGAGCAGGCTGAGCTGCAGGGAGGTGAGGGGCAGGGAGGTGGGTGGGGAGCTGCAGTGGCCCTGGGTGCAGTTGCCTGTGAGGAGAGGAGACTGGGGACTCGGGAAGAAGACCCTGTGTGTGTACCCCCTGGCCTGCGTGCCCAGCCTGACCTCTCTCTCAGGGGCCCAGGCTGGATTGGGGAAGGTCAGGCAGGGCTGGAGAGGGGACATTGGGTTTCTGCTCCTGGATCTTTTCCTTCAACCTGGCTCTTTGAAGCTCTCACTTGGTGGTGTTGGGGCAGGGACAGGTGATGATAGTGGTGGGTCAGGGGAGGGGGAGACTAGCAGGTCGTGAGAGGTGAGAGGGAGAAAAAATGGGGTTACCTATTGGAGACCAGCTCCAACTATTGAGGTGTCTGGAGGCAACACAGGCAGGACCTTAAGATGGGAAGGCATAGGCAAGCGGAGATTCCAAAAGGGGAGAGGGGAGCGGGTGCGAGGAAGACAAGGGAGTCAGGGTTGGGTACAAGTCTTCCCACTATTCCCTCAGCAGGTCTTTGTTTATACTGTGTAGCAAGTAGTTAATTGCAATAATGTATAGGATAAGTTAATGAGAGATCACCAGAAAACATTCTCAAGGACAAGGGGAACAAGCATTTTTCTCTTAACAAATTATAGTATACTAGATTATACGTTTTTGTGATAATTGTCATGTGTACAGCTGTTTAGTTATCACTCAAAGGAAGAGGGGTCTGGGGAGGGGTGAGCTTGTTAGCAAAAAGTTACTAGGGTTCTTGGTGTAGTAGTAAATTGTGTTAGCAGTGTTATCAGTGATTGTCTAAAGAAAAGCTAATGGCTAATTTCAGGCTAGCAGAGAGTAGTTAGTGCTTGTTTTAAAAAGGAGTAAATTAAGGGAAAGTTGTACAGTTGTGTATCAAACAACACCTGTGTAATCAAAGTTAAAATTTGTCCATGAGTCCTTATGCCCTGGGAGTCTTACCTGAAGTTTGCTTTTTATTCAAAGAAACCTAGGAGGCTTCCCAGGAGTTTTTATGCCTTGGGGTCTTATCTCTCCCGTGACTTGCCTTCTGTCTCAGGAGACAGAGGAATTTCTCGCCCTGGGGCAGCTTGCTTGAACCAGGCAGCTGCCTTAGCCTTATGAGGCTAAGACAATCCAGTTGTAAACTGAATGTTGCTCAGAATATTTTGATATTATGATTCTACAAAGAAAGGGATATCATAACATAAGTTAGCATGGAAATTCTGATTTTTCAGAGCTTTTCCCTGTCTACCCGGAATCTGTCAGTTGACAGATGTTGTATAGCTTGTGTGAGTTACCTTTCCTCAGAGACAGGAAAATGTGATTCCAGAGCAACCACAGGGCAGTTCCTGAGGACCAGAAAGCACAGTCTGCAGCTACTGAGCATGTCCCACTGTCTCTCCACAGGGCCCGGTGGCCTGAACAAACTGAGCCAAGTGGTGACACCCAACCCTCAGCGCCCCGAGTCTGCTGGCCTCAGAGCTCCCAGCCCCTGCTGTCTGTACCTGAGCCCAGGGACTGTCTGAGCGGCTCAGCCCAGGCTCACTGGGCTGGACTGGGCCTTGCTCCTGTTACCTGAACTTTCTCTCTTGGCACCTCTGTGTTCTCATCTCTGAAATTAGGTAACAGCATTGTCTGCAATTCTCTTTCCTCTGGTTCCACCAGCTCTCTTGTGCACCTTCACCTTGGATGTCTGTGCAGGTCATATATTATACGTATAGTTGTGTGTATATTTATTGTATGTTAATATGTGCAATATTTTGTGATTCATATTACAACTATAAACATACTATCTGGTCTGTGTATTATCTCATGGCTGGGAAGGCACAGTATGAGGTTGTGGGGAGACGGGCAGTAGACCCGGCACTAAAGCCCAGCTCCTGCTTCCCAGCTCCCAGTTGCTGACAGAGTCCCAGGGAGGTATAAAGGGTTGGAGAAGCTGGAATGGGGTGTCTGGGGCCAGTGTCAGGGACTGAGCCGGGGCGGGGTGGGGGGGTTGTGGGGGTGGGAGAGTGTCTGTCCTGAGGGTGGGTCACGTGGCGGAGCAGAGCTGATGTGGGGAGGAGACGGTACAGTGCATTGAGTCAGCTGCCTGGCTGGGGCCAAGACCCAGCTCCCGCCGCAGTGGCCACGGATGGCTTGAGAGCACTGAGACTGCCCTGTGCCGCGAGGAGGCCTCGGCCCCTGGATTCTTCTGTGTCTCCCCCTGGGGTCCTCTCACCCCGGGCTGGGCAGCGCTTCAGCGCCCCTGAGTCGCCCGCATCACCGCCGACACGCAGACAGCTTAGACGGCGAGGCTTGGCCGGGAGCCGACTCTGCGCAGTTTCATGTGAGGCTGAGGCTGCGGGTCCGTGGGCAATAGTTGAGGTCACAGCGTCTTTCTCTTTGTTTCTTATGTGTTATGTTCATTTTTCTATACATCTTTCTTTCTTAAGAAATGCTAAGATCTTACTAACTCACTTTAAGTTAATTAATGTCAATTAATTCGGTTAAAGAAACAATTTATTGTGGTAAAAATACATAAGATAAATTTGCTATAGTAGCCATTTCAACAGTAAAGTGTAGTAACTTTTTATTTTACTTGTTTTAAATTTTTTAATACAAAAAGACTGGTTTATTAAATAAGAAAAGTTGAGAGAGGGGACTTCCTGGTTGTGCAGGGTTTAATTCTCAGCACCATCAAGCTATCAGCAGCCAATGTTAGATTCTGGCCCAGGGATCTGACCCACATGGTGCAGCAGACCTCTAATGTCTCACCAGCTGCTCCCCTAAGCAGTATCGGGGAGCACTCACCACCTGTGCCTCTCACCTGTACCCCAGTTCTTGTGTGCATAAATACTAACATAAATCTTTAAAGTGAGACAAAATTTGAAGGAGCAGGCACTTGCAGAGCCGCCCTGGAAGGGACAGGTCAGTAGAAGAAACACCTGCAGCGTCCCAGGCGGGCAGTGCCGGGAGGAGCGGCCCAGGCCCGCCGTGTGTTATCCCGGTTCGTAACTGTGTGCTGCCGGCGAACACCTCTGTCCACTTTTTAATTGGGTTGTGTGTTATTCAGTTGTTTAACTGGTTTATGTATTTAGGCCATGAGTCATTTTCTGATGCATAGTTTGCAAACTTCTCCATTCAGACAGCTGGCTCTCATTTTATTTTATGAGTTTTTAAAGGTTTTATTTCTACTTATTTATGCATAGAAAAACTGGAATGTAGGCCAGAAGCCGGCAGGGGGTGGGTTTGGGGGTGAGAGGATTGAACAGAGTCAGAGTGGGGAGCATAAGAGGCTGATCTAGTGAGGTACACTGCTGAGGGAAAAGCAGGGGAGACGGGAGAGGTCTGCTGCACCTTATGGTCAGCTCCCTGCCAGTCCCTGGTAGGGATCCTTGTCATGCCCCAGGGGCATGATAGCTTGATAGTGCTGGGACATTTTAACCCCTGTTCCACACGGGAGCCCTGTCCCTTCACTTTCATAATAGTTCCTTTCTCTGTGCAGCAGCTTTTTAGATTGATGTGGTCCCGTGGTTTATATTCCCTTTTTTTTCTCTTGCTTTCAGGGAGGAGTCGACAAAGGCATTATTGAGACTGAGGGCAAAGGGCTGCTTACCTGTGTTTTCTGACTGCCATTCTCTCCCCTGCCTCTGAGTTTGCTTATCTCACCCTTACAGGGTGGAATCGTGAGAGCTGGTCTCTCCCTCACTTGCTGAAGACCAGCTTCAGCTGAGGTAGTGAGCGTCTCCCACAGGAAAGGACGACATCTGTGTAGAAAAAAGAGAGAGAAAAGTTGAGGTAGAACAATGAGGGGACGCGGATACCTGTTTAGGGTGAAAGCATCTTCTGCCGATTGACCCAGCAGGTCTTTATTTATACATTACAAGCAAGTGGTGTGATTACATCACTGTGTGCATAAATCACAAAGCTTAACAATCATCACATTTGTCTTAAAGACAGCTCGGGACTTTTTGATCTCTTATTGAGACTGTGATATTCATCATTCATTAATTAAAAGTACAATTGATACACAATGACTGGTTCCTATAGTGACCAGTCATTAATAAAATATTTCTATGGTGATCAGTTAGCTATTATAACTTAAGCAATCATTTTGTTCATATTTGTCAATGAATATACATCTTAAAGGTCCAGGATCTAATGTCAAGGAACTCGGATTCAGAAAAACACCAACGCCGAAAGTGCTGACATTTCCCTGCCCGTAAGAACTCTGACTGGCCATCAGAGTCTGGCGATAAACCCGGAGACGTCCCCTACCTTCCTCGGCCCCAGTCGGGAGAGCGGGAACACGTCGTCAATGGCCGGCAGGAGGGTGGCCGTTGTCGCCCAGGACGTTCTTCAGGGCCTCACTCAAGATGGTGAAAAGGGTGTTCAGGAGATGCTGACAGTCATCCCAGGTGGGACAATGGGTAAAACTGCTAAACAATTTCCACAAAACCCAATCTCTTAGCAAGTGACCACAACAAAATTGTACACTTACACATAGAAATTTTCACAAGGCCAAGCCAGTTTTTAACAACAAATGTGCATCTGGAAAAAAAAAACTGGAAGCAAAAACCAAATTTGTCACGAATCAAAATTACAAAAGCAATCACCACCACACACACTAAGTCCCTCCACTCGCTCGGACCGGTCCTCGTTTCTACTGGTGAGCAGCACACTCACCACGCTCATAATCCAGGTCGGGAATCAGCCCTAACAGCGTCCACCTGGACAGCCGGCATCCCACGAGCTCGATAAGTTCTTCTTCTCTTGCTGGCGCCGGACTGGTGCCCGAGCCTGAATGCCAACCAAGTTCTTCCAGATGAGACTTTAAAGTTTTCCTAGTCGAGAGCCCAAAATCGCTCTTCCAGCCACGGAATCAATGATCCCGCTTTACGCTGGCCCTTGAATCCTTGAGCCACGGGGAAGCCACCCCCGCTTGACGCTCCCTCTACCAGCCACGGGGTGGCGACCCCCGCTTTATGCTGGATTTTCCAGCCACGGAGTAGCGACCTCCACTGTACGCCATCCTGCCCGGGAACTTTGGTTCCTAAACTCACAACTGGCTGTCGTTTGTCACCACAGGGGACTAACCGGTAGATCCCGGACGAGCCCCCAAATGTTAGGGTCTGAAATCACCTGGTTGCCTCCCGTGACAAAGGACAGGACCAGAGATGCACAATCAAGGGGAGTTTATTAAGCCAGCTAACTGGGGTCAAGCTTTCCTGCAGGCATGCAGACCACACAAGGAGAGCAAGACCCCGACCATAGGAATGTCAGAGAATATATAGGCTCTATTGGCTGTTACATATGTCACAGCTAGTACAATTTCATAGCCAGTGCAAAATCAAAGATTAACAAACTCCAAGGCACCCAAGGATGGGTTACCTAGGCACCCAAGGACCAGTTTCTAAGAACAGATGTCTCAGTGGTAGGTCAGGAGCTGATATCAGGGTCTAGTTTCAGCTGGTTTCAGGAGCTGGCACCAGGAATGCTATCTGCCTGCCCTTCTTTCTGGGCCCAGGGCGAGTCAGAGATCCAGACAGGTGCCTAGCCAGAGGGGCTTAACACTCTCCAGCCTCCTTTAGTCATCAGGAAAATGATGCCTTTCTGGGCCCCTCTGGGCAGGCAGGGAGCAGAGGCAACAGACTTGGGGGCAGTGAAGGTTGTGGGGTTTGCCCCCAGAACAGCATTATAGCAGATGTCTCCGTGTCCACCCAGACCGGTCTGCAGGGCCCCTCCATGTATGTCCTGGCCCTTGCCCTGCCCACCCTGCTGACCCTGAAACTCGCCCACTCTGCAGAGACTCTGGTCCCTACCCATCTGCACCTGTGTCCTGAGCCCATACAGGGACCTGGCCCCGCCATGTCCGCACTTGGAGAGGACACCCAGATGGTGAGACCATCATAGCCTTGCTGGGTACTAGTTATTTTATATCTTATTAATGCAGTGTCATGTGGGCTCCATTTTACCGGCAGGACAGCGAGAGTAGCAGCGCACTGACTTCTTTGCCCAAGAGATAAGGACACAGGGCTGAGCACCCGGTGACTGGGCAGGGCTCTGACTTGGACTCCAGAGCCAGGAGTCACCTCCCCACACAGGTTCCCAGCCTGCCACCCCTGGAGAAGCGCGACCCAATGCTGCCCCCTGGTGGTCTCCCTGTGCAGATCAGCAGGACCCACACTCAGCCTGTTCTCTTGGGCCTGAGATGGTCTTCACTGCCCCCAGGCCAGAGTCCACCTCCCAACAGGGCAGACAAGCCTGAGGCGGGACTCTATTGGGGTGAAGGGTGTCCCCACCACTCTGGGGGCCCTGGTCCCCGTGCTCAGAGGAGGCCAAGCTCACTCCCCCTGCTGAGGGACTCTGGGCCTGAGGGGCCTGCTGAGAGGGCGCCTCTGCCCTCACCCCTAGAAGCCCGAGCGCCCCCTGGTGGGCAGACGGCTTCACCTCAGCTGTGTCTGGTCAGGGCCACCGGGGTCAGGACTGGACCTTGGACACCTCAGCATGGTGAGCTAGAGACCCACCCAGGGGTGCTGCCCCCCACGGGTCCTGAACTTCCAGTGTCAATCAGACATTTTAGTATTTTCTTACTATTCATAAACTTTTTTAAAAAATTATAAAATTTACTAAAAATGATCAGCCATCTTACAAGGTGCCCCTTCCTAAAAGGCAATTTCCTGTAGCCCCAGAGACAGGCCTCTCAGCATTTCCCCCGTTTCAGTCCTAATTCCTCCC